GCAGTTCCCCCGGGTGAGGTACGGGGGGCGGGGCACATGACGAAGCCCACCCCCTGCTTCTGGCCGCCCCACTTCCGGCCCTCATTCAGCCAGGAGGAGGCAGGAGAAGAGGGAGGGTAAGTTGCTTCCTCCCTGCCTCTCCCCACCCCTGCCTGCCTGGGGCCAGGGAGGGCCTTCATGGGGCTTCCTTGCACTCCCGCCGGCCTTGCAGGTCCACCGCCGGGCCCCTCATGGGGCTCGGCAGTGGGGCTGCAAGGCCGCTGGCGGCGGCCGGGACCGTTGGGGGCGGGGTGTGTGGCCTTATGACACACTTCCGGTGATGTCAGGAGGTGTGGCCTTATGACACACTTTTGGTGATGTCAGGAGGTGTGGCATATGCTAATGAGTTATGCTAATGAGTTCCCCTAGCTCTTTTTCTACGAAACGACCCCTGGACATAAATGAGTAGGCAAGGCCAAGTCCCAAAGTTCTGAGGGTAGCCACTGAAATAAATCCTAAACCTTTAATTAGCCTTTAAATTTAAACATTTATTGCCATGGTAGACATATGAAAGTGATGCGGTTTTGCATATGAGTTGTGCGAATGGGGAGAACATCACGTGGGGGGCTACTCCACCGGCAGTTGACTGTGTCTCTTCTCTCTCTCCCATTCCTCCAGGGAGAAGCCCAGTCTGGAAAACAATAATATAAATTTCAGTTCTGCAGTGCCGTTCCTGAGGGATTGTTCTGAGGTGAAAATGGAGGAGCAAGATCCCACACGCCCCTACTCAGAGTGGTTAAGAAAAACCTCTCAAGTCCTTCAGTCTGGGAGTATGAAGGGAATCCTGGAAAAGAGGCCAGGAGATCCGATGAGTCTGCGTGGGGTGGAGGGTCCCCTTTCCCTGGGGCAGTGGGAAGCCCAGTGGAAGGAGTTCCTCGGGACAGTGGAGAGCCTTCACTCTACACGGGGAGTCCCCCCCTTGCCCGAGAAACCTTCACCTTGGAAAGATGCCAAGGCCTTCCTGGCCTCCTTTGAGCAAGT